CTGAGATAATAATAAAATTATCTCACACCTATCACTATTATATCGGGCGCATGATAAAATTTACAAAATTAATTATCGGGTACTTAGTAATAATCAATCATATCGGGTGCCCGATATGTTTATTCTTCCCCGATAGGTGTCCGATAGGTACCCGATAAATGCCTGATATTTGAATTTTGACCTGTGTCAGGTAATTTTATTGACCTGTACAATGTGCTTATTAAGGCCGAAGAACAAGTAGGGATCACAAATCAGGAAGTTATTGGGAGCTATTTTGTGTTTGGAAAAAAACTTGAGGATAGGTTCAAGTATTATAAAAAAAATAATAGAGAGTGTAAGGCTCAAAAAAAACTTATCAATGAGGTCACAGAATAACTCCCCAATGACCTCTCGAGGAATGTAATCGAGAAAAGACTAGAAAGGGCAAGGAAGATTTACTACCTTTTCAATAATATTGGATATGAGAAGATACAACTGGTAAAATCTTATTCTGCATTGAGAATTTTTAAATTAAGTTGGAACGAGATCAATGCTATAGAAAAAAGTTTGAATAGAGATAATTATCATTTACTGTGCCAAGACACATGACTTCGCTAATTGACTCGGTCAAGAAATTCATAAATTATTTCATAATGCATGTATTGTTTATTTATGGGTAGAGCCCAGTGTCTTTAACATATAAAAATTATAGTCACTTTGTACTGCGAATCAATAAATTTTCCAATGTATTTTTTTAGTTATACTAAAAGCTTTGCTATTTCGTAATCTGCATGCATATGACATAGAGTCCCAAGGGAGCAACCTATGTGATCGTGAAAAATGGTTTACGTGGTCATTGGCCGTGCTAGCTCTGCTGATACAAAAGTAGATTTTATTTTACATATTGAATTTCTAATTATGCGAATTATACGATATAGCAGTATTATAAAATTGATAATTTATGCCTTCATTGTTATCTCATCTGGAGAGAAAATTTGTATGAATTGAATATAGATTTCTTTCCATTTTTTCATCAGATCATCAAGCTATGCAGTACTTAAACCACTCTTTACTATACTGCAACGTAATAACTCTTCACCAATCAGCCTCTCCTGATCTGTTAAAAATTTATGGCGTAGGTCTACTCCCGGTTGATATTTTCTGGTATCTTCATTCCTTTTTATTCCTCCATGATAATAGCGTATATCTCTCTTCAGGTTACTACGGAAGTATCCCATGGTCCTTCTATTTTTCTCAACCTCAGTAATAACCAAAAAATTCTTAGAATCCATTCCATGTTTGATGGCATATTGGTGTAAGCTGGCCTCTGGTTGATAAAGGTGAGTTTTGTTTAGTACACTTACTTGAATTTCTGGTAAGCTCTGTATAGTGATTATAACTTTCTTTTGATCAATGCGAAAAGGACAATTAAGATAATAGTGATTATTTTTACCTAGACAACTCCAGTCACCCTATATTCCTAAACGTGTATGTACCTCTTTACATATTGGACATTTAGCTTCTGAATCAGTATATTTAAATACATCTCGATGCCATGTATTCGAATTAGTATATGATAAAAAAGGAAAACGTTTATGTACTGTTTCAATAATTACATCTTTCTCTTCCAGAAACTTAAAAATTTTGATAACACAATCCTGTAAAAGGTAATTATCAGTTTTTTCGATTTGTGAGGATTCTGAGTTTATCCAAGGATCGAGTCCAGTTTTTTTCTTATATCTTTTATATAATGTGAAGCGAATTTTATCTGTCAAAATGCTTGGTAAACTAATTAATTTAGCATGCCACTTCAAATATTCAGGAGTTAATATTTTATTGGTCTTAGTTTGTGTATTCATGTTGACATTTTATGATTGTACATCTTTTTAAATTAACAATAGCTGACAAAAATAGTTAGAAGACATATTATCATTTATACAAATGTAGATTCTCGCATAAAAAAATATTAAATGTGTTTCGATTAATATAGATCTGATCTTTATTACATAGTAATATATAGCTGGCAAGAAAATACAAATAAACAAAATTTATACAATTATTTCAGCATCAGAGCTGGCACGGCCAATGTACTGAATTATATCAATTTCAGATGCTTCACACTTGATATAGTAGGATCTAGCTTCATAATTGCCCTCTACACCTTTCCCATCCTCATGATCTAACTTGCATAGTGGGCATAATGATTCAGAATTAATTCCATAATAATTGACACCTTCATTACTATATTCATAAAATATATCGGGATATTGCTCCAATGTTTTGTCATGAAAATAAACATAGGTATGAGTTGGATTATTCTGTTTTTCAGATAAGATCTTGGGTTGAGATGTAGATATTACAGGTATTGCACTTACCTCAGTCATATGAGAGCGTGAATTTTTTTCACGCAGTGGGGTTAGTATCACACTTTACCTCATATATGATTGTATCGATTTATGCATCAGTTAATTTTGAAAGTTTATTTGTGCTATAAGTCTTAATTCGCAAAATCTTATCTTCTCCAATTTTATTAAACAGCTTATATATAGGTTTAGTTAGTTGTGTTTTTTTACGCAAATTTACTTGGAAGATACCTGAAAGATAACATAACATTTCATTATAAATTTGGCTACTCGCTAGCTCATATGCTTTTTGTTTCATAAGATGTGATTTATTTTTCAAGATGTTAGGTAAAATTTTCACTGTCTTTTTTCAAAAAACTTTCTATATGAATACCAGCTAACAATTTCATCTTGTTTAGCTCGCATAGTATTAAATTCCACAAAACAAATTCTTTCGAATAGATATACCAATTTGATTGCAGGTGATTGGTTATCTGTAAAATTTTTATCTACATTAACCATTTTAACGGTGTCTTCCTCTAAAGGTTCTATTCTTAATTCTTGTATCAGAGGCTATATGTCTATTTCACGAATTTTCATTTTTTGCTTTATAGGAAGTTGTTCGGATAAGTCAGAGCTATTGTCGGAGGTAATCACAGAGTGACTAGAGATAGGTTGCAATATTGTGAATGATTCCAAATTTTGATCTTTATATGATAAATTGGATGGTTCTAGTAAATTATTATCCGAAGATAAGTTTTGTTCCCAAAGTTTCTTTTCCCGAATTCTCTCCATTATCTCTTTACTAACACGTTCTTTATGTTTCGCTTCTACAAAATCAAAGGTCTTAGCTGTATCGTCATCGATAGTATCTTGTGGCAAAGAGGTTGTGAATGACTCACCTTTTGTGGGAGTATTATCAGGATTTATTTCAGGGTGGATATGGGATATAGGGCATTGGTTATCTATATCCTGATATATATGGGCACTATTTTCTATCTGTTTAGAAGTATCATTAGAATTTGGCGTAAGCCTGCACATTTGTACTGAAGCATTAGCAGATATATCAGATACCGAAGTATTATTGGATTCATTAGAATTTGAAGTGTTATCAGATATATCAGCAGTCACACAGTGTTTATAATCTGGCTTCGAGTTCAAAGAACGAGAAGGTGGGATATCATCGTCCAATTTAGCAATATGAATATTTTTTTCTTCTTCATTTTGTAATTGCTTCTGTTCCAATTTTGCAACCCTAGCTTTAAGCTCAGCATTTTCAACAGCAGTATCTTTATCATTCTGCTCTAATTTCATAAATCTGGCTTCGATTTCTGCTTTATCTTGTTTTAATTTTATATTTTCAGCCTTAATATCGGCATTCTCTTTTCTAAGTTCATCAATTTGAAGAACGAACTTGATATTCAATTCTCTCAACGAATTAATTGTGGATTTGAGCGTCTTCCATTGTTTTATACAAGATACGGATATGTTCAAAAGTTCGAGTCTGATAAAATCACAAAACTCCGTGAAAAAAATTCACGCACTTTTGTCAAGAAAATTCTCGATCACATTTAAAATATATGTACTCGTTTATATTTACTAATGCAATAAATCCACGAAATGCACATGTAAAAGTTAATGTGGTTTTATATGATATAATGACCAGGGTCAAAAAATATTATTACGTCATTAATATATTATGAAATAAAAAATATCATGTGAGTGGTTATTCGGCTTATACGTCCTTTTAATACTTCAAATCATTGAATATGTGTCATTGTTTTATTTACACAGTAAAAATGTTGCCGAAACAACTGGTACAAATAAAAAAATCCTAATTATTCTAAAAAGATTCGTATTAAATTACATTTTATGGGGTCTTAATGGTAGAATCTTCTTCGGAAGAATCATGTTGTTCGGTGGTTGACCTAGATTTCTTTATAAAAATATGATTGAATTCATGAAGAGTTACCAGTATCCCGTTCTAAATATAAAATTAACCTTAGAAATGATACATAGTATTAGAAGACTAATTTTTGGTTTTCAAAATTTCTTACCCGCAAGATTAGTAAGGCATGTACAAATTCTTCAACTTTATCCACTGTTTCGTTATGAAAAGGAACCTTGGCTTTTATGACAGAGAGGTAAAACTTTATACCTTTTTCTCGTAGCAATCCGTATACATCAACACAGTGGTCAGCTAATTATCATAAACATAATTAGACAATAGGATATTATCTACATTATTGAAACGAAATATGTTTTTTACCCGTAATATTTATACCAAACACAATGCAGAATTTATACAACTCATCCTTTTTAGACTTTTTTGACATATCAGTATATCCGTCTAAGCAGAACTGAGCTAACTTATTATGATCGTGATGGGTTTTGTGCCTGTTGATAACCATTTCCCGCTTTCGACGTACGCGATTTCATTCCACTTTTGCTTGAAAAAAGCTCTGATCATTAAGTCGGGCATGTTGCCTCTTGAACCGGGTACTTGTCGATTTTTTCGTTTTTTGCTGGCATCACTTTGACGTTCGTTTCTCGTTACTTCGATATCAAAGTCAATTGGCATTTGATATATCGACGCCTCTATAAGACGTTCTACAACGTCTACAAGAGCATTCTCTGAAGATTTAAAAATTTTACAGATATTCCTTTTAGTTTCTTGCAGAAGTATGTCTGTTATATTTGTTGCTATTTGCGCCCTGTCGTTTTCACCCTCAACCCAGTGCTTGTGTCTTGTCATTTCTGAAAGTGCAATGATAAATTTGCATCGGTTTTGAATTTCGTTTTTTTTTGTAACATAATCTACGCACACTCTCTTTATCAAAGAACCTTTTCTTAAGTTTCTTATGCCACCTTTCTCACCCTGTATAAACAAGTTCCAAATATGTTATACAATTTAGTATAATCAATATAATTCGTGTAAATATAAATTACTCACCACAAGAACGTCATAGTCATCATCTACTAACTGGTATTGAGAAGATTCGAGGTCAACTATACCATTAGCCAACGGGTCATCATAGGTTAAATCATTAATATCTACATCTTGTATTTCCTCGAGAAGATGTTCATGTACCGATGTGTTTGCTTTCTGATAATTTGGAATTGGTAATGCGATTAAATTTATTTGGTTCCTGGTAAAATAATATATGTCCAGAATACCTGTAGTCTGTCTTTTATATTACCGATGTTACGGATAGCATGTACTTTCCAATCTGGAGGTTCATCAGTCTCGAACCTTTACAGACAGAATTGTTAATACATTTTTCTTTGGTGTATTTCATTTTAAAAAATACATACCGAATCAAATCCTCATCTACTAATATTTTCAATTCTTTCCATAAATTTCGCATCTGTAAAAGTAATATTCATGTTACTAAACATTCAAAAAATAAAAACTATTCTATTACACTTATATATATATATCAGATATCAGATCTATATGCAATATTTGTTTATATTACAATCTCCTCGTCAGTATCACCGCTTACTTATCGTCTTTGCATACTACAATATAAAGAGGAAACTTCTCGCAAATGGTTATGGCCACTCACCACCACTTACTTATCGTCTTTGCATACTACAATATAAAGAGGAAACTTCTCGCAAATGGTTATGGCCACTCACCACCGCTTACATATCATCCTTATAAGTAGTGCAAGGAGGAAAATTCTTGCAAATGATTAACAGTCTGACGAGAAGTAGCTCAATTTTTATTATCATCATATCTATAAAAAAAATAATTTAGTGATAGCATGTACCTTATCGATATCTTGTAATGATATGAGATGTTGCTTCCTATCACTATCTAGATTTTCTGCCATTAACTTGTTTAAAATCTCTAAAAGACGGTTACAATCATTTCTTCCGACTGTATGTCATTTCGTTTCCATAGTTCATGAAAAGCCCTAGAAATAGCAATCTTATTGAGTGGTTCTTTTCTGAAAAAGTTTTTTAAAGAGTCAATTCTGTCGTAAGAGGCCATTATAAGTTATCGAAAAAATTTTTGAGAAAATGGTTATATGTGAGAATTTATTCCATACTGCATGCAGAATTTCTATAACCTTCCATATTACCGATTGGTCGAATTTCTATGTATAGAATTTTTGTAGATCAAGTTATGGTCCACAAGTATGAAATGTTACATTGTATAACCAGTCACAACTTTATTGCATACGATAAAAATTTTCATGTGAATTTCCTGCACACGATGTTTTTATTATCAAGCTCAAAAAACCGAATCACTAAAAGCGATAGGTAATAATAAATCGCTATACTGCCCTTTATAACGTTTTCGCATTTTCTCTTTCTGGTATTTTGAAGTCTGAAATAGTGGATTCTGGAAAGTAGAGATATGTGTTAATGTATGCATGAAAATTTTTTCACAAAAAACATATCATGTGGTAATTTATCAAATTTGGTTTATCGGATTTGCTAATCAGTTCAGATGTTCATGCTTCTTCTATAACACACATTACACAATAGGTTGATCAATTTAATGATACTAGGTTACACAAGTTATAAATTACGGATATATTTACAAAATGTGTATAGTTAAATATTGTTATCCTTTTAAAAAACTTCTTAACTATTACCAGTACAATTTATGGACCAGTTTTTGAAGATTTATTTTGAGATTAATCCATATGCTTAATATACAACCAAACACCTGTCTATATATCTCTCCTATTCACAGCACAAATACCCTCACAAAATATGATGAATATAATACTCTCGAAAAAAAAATGGTTTCAAAATCCAATTACACTAAAATTGAATTACATTATTCTATAGTATAAGTTATTAAATCTAATAGGTCTAAATCTCCTAAATACGATATAAATTACATATAACTTCCATAATCACTACAAATAAGTCATATAAAATAGTTAGCTTAAGTAAATTACGTGGAACCAATTGTACTGATGCTGAATGGTATGAATATTGTAAAATGCCACAAGTTTGTGATAATGAAACTCCCAGTAAGTGAATAGATCGAATTTGGCCTCGCTTATAGTATTTCAGAAAGAATGATCTTTTACCTACTGAAAGCAAAAAATATCTTGAAGCTAGGAAATTGATACTAGTCCTTACTCTAGGTACATATGCTTCTGCAATCGGATTAATGATTTGCTTCTCTTGTGACCAGTTAATATATACTGGAGAACGGACTGCAAATATAGATAATTATAATCATATAGGAATGGAGAGACATTGGAAATTTTCATGTTCCGGTAATAAATACTGTGGTGTAAATCACG